AGATACTACGAAAACATTTGGCAAACAAAAATCAAGAAAAAAAAATTCAAAAGTGGTATCATCTTTAGTATTGTTAGTTTGTTTGATGAAGATAAATATTACTTAATGCTAACTTACCATCTTGAATCTCAAAATGTCCCAATTAAAGTCATTAACCCCCTAGACAAACTCTATTTGGAGACTTTAAATGATCCTAATGAACTTCAAGTTTAGGATGCACCCCCTGAATTTAAGGAAGAGATTAAATTTCCTGTCAATGAGTTAATAAAAGTTAACTTAGGAACCAATGATGACCCTTGACCCACCTTCATAAGTACCTTATTGATTGAGGATGAGTCTTAGGATAATTTAACTCCTTTCTGAGTTTAGGGATTACTTTTCCTGGATATAAGACAAAATGTCAGGCATATTCACTTATGTAGTAGTTTATAAACTCAGAATTTGACGCAATGTCATTCCTTTTAAACAATCTCCTCAACGCATGCATTTAGATATAGAGCAATAAGTCATTTATGAGATCAAGAAATTGGTCAAGGCTAGACTCATTTTAGAGGAACAATACCACTCTTGAGAAGCTAGCATCATACAAGTTAGAATGAAGAATAATCAAATCTTCATTTATGTTGACTATAGGGATCTAGATAAGGCGTATCCCAAAGTTGAATTTTTTCTACCCATACCCGAGCTTATGGTGGATATTGCATCTTCTCCTATTATTTTCTCTTTTATGGATGGCTCGTTTGGTTATAATCAAATCATTATGACCCTAAAAGGTAAGAGAAATATTTTATTCAGAACTCCTATAGGAATCTTCTGTTATAAGGTGATGCCCTTTGACCTTAAAAATGCTGGTGCAACCTACCAGTGGGCCATAACTCATATCTTTGTCGACTTAATCAACAATCAAGTTAAGTGATATATTGATGATTTGGTTGTCAAGAGAAAAGTTAAAGAGGCTCACCTATGTGACTTAAGAGTCATTTTCGATCGGTTACATCATTACGGCCACAAAATAAATCCTTTGAAGTGTTCCTCTAGCATCACTTCAGGGAAATTCATAGGATTCGTAGTAAGGTATCGTAGAATTGAAATTAATCTTTCTAAAATTAAATCCATTAAAATATGCCACCCCCTAAGAGCCTTACCCAATTAAGTTCTCTCCAAGGTAGGCTAGCATATATAAGGAGGTTCGTATATAATCTTTCTAGAAGAAGTCAAATCTTATATATCCTAGCTTATAAGGATATCAAGTTCATTTGAGATGAGAAATGTCGAAGTGTTTTTACAAGAATCAAAGAATACCTTTCTAATCTGCAGTTTTGGTAGCCCCTATTTCAAGAAAACATTTGATCCTCTACACTGAAAATGAGTCTTTAGGTCCCATATTAGCTCATGTCAATGATGAGGGGAAAGAAAATGCTCTCTATTACCTTAGCTAAACACTTCTTCCTATGAATCAATAAGCCCAGCCAACAAAGAAAGAAATAGAGAGAAACTAGAGAGAGAAACTCTGAGGAAACGATTTGCATTATGTTTGGATTTCAAATTTCAACTTCGCGGGAAATGTGGAATCCTGATGGCGGAGGATGTTCGCCGTCATCTGATGACTGGCGGCAAGCCATAGGATCATCGTAACATTAAAAAGCCATCTACAGCTTCTTCTCTTCTTCTCCTTTCGCCTCCAGCGTTTGGAGATGACAACCTCGGGCTCAAACATAGAAGTGCTAAAGGTATTATTATTAAAGAAGGAGGCTTTGTGGAAAGAAAAATTTCATATGTTATTGGTAAAGGGAAGGAATTAATGGTAGAGGAAAGGATTGAGAAAGTTTTATTTAACAAGAAGGCATTGGCTCCGGAGGGTGGATTTGAGGCATCGAGTTAAGTTTTGCCACCAATTGAGAAAATTACACCAGAATTGATAAGGTCTGAAGGTACTAATAGAGACTCTTTGTCTATAATCACTAAAGATGTTTCTGAATCTGTTAAAGAAAATACTTCATTGAATATGAAGGAGAAGACCGATTACATGGATAACCACCTGAAATCTGTAGAACAACCGAAAATCTTGTTTTCTGATCTGCTGAAGGTCAGGAATGTTGATCAAGCCGAAAAAGGAGATTGTGGAGATGATGTTGTTAATCAGCTAGAGCTAATGTGGAAAAACAAACAAATGCTTGGAGAAGGAAAGAAAATATCCAAGTGTCTGACTTGGATTTAGGCAGCTATTTGTCTGATGATGGTAAGACTGTTAAACTCCATGATCTGAATGAGAAAGAAAATGCTAACAAACTTATCAACTCACTAGTTGATAAAGTATTTTGTGGTGAACCTCCTGTTTGGGTCATCAGTTCTGAGCTTAGGAGGCAATGGGCACCATTTGGAAAATTCCACCTTACTATGCTAGGCATGGGGTGGATTTTATGTTCCTTTCCTGAATCTGATCAAATGGAAGCTTTAATGTCGAATGGGCCATATTTTGTAAATGGAAAAATAATTGGGATGGACAAGTGGTCACAAAATTTCTCTCCTACTTCACTGAAGGGGCTCACAGCACCAATTTGGATCCGTCTTCCAAACCTTCCACTTCATTGCTGGGACAACATAAACATATGTAGAATTGCTTCAATGGTTGGAAAACCATATCTAATTGATGGAAACATGTTCCAATGGGGACGGAGAGAATTTGGAAGGGTTTGTGTAAGAATAAATTTGGATGCTAAGCTTCTACTAGGAGTATGGGGTGAAGGCTGTTATGGGAGATTCTATCAAAAGATAGAGTATGAAAGGGTTCCTAGTTTTTGTTTCAGTTGTGGTCTTATTGGCCATAACAAGGAACAATGCAAAAATTCAGTTGAGGTTCCCACTAGTCAAGAGAAGAGGAATATCTCAGAAAATACAATATTGAAAAGTGCAAATCCTTTGCAAGATTCAAATGGAAGAAATAACGAAGACTCTGGATGTGGCCCTTGGTTAATTGTCAAACGAGGGAAGAAGAGAGGTTATAGCAGAAATCAGAAAATCTATCATCAGCCCTCCAACAAAGTCCAATTGAAATTGAAAAATTCGAAGACTGATGAAGGAATAGCAGATGTTTCAAATCCTTATTTGCATAAGAATATTGAAGTTGTATGTAATCAGGATCCACAAAATTCTTGGCATGGGAAGGAAGCAAGTGAAGTTATAACAGTTCAGGAAATTCAAGTTGCTGCCCATCCAGAAAGTAAATCAGAATCTAGAGAGATATTCTCCATTCACACAGCAGAAAATATCTTTAATGCTCTTGATAATCAGGCAGAAGAAGGGGAAATAATCCAGGAAAAAATTGATGTGGCATTGAAAGCTGATGTAACCTCTTCAGTATTTTCTGATATTCCAGGTCAGATCATGTACAATACAGAAAAGGATTTCAGCTTGGTTAAAAAAAAAATCAAAACAACTGAAAAACCTTGGTTTGATTAGCACCAATTCAAGGAGCAGAAGGATGGAGCTGGATCTAAAAACCACAATGGGGAGGTCTTCCCCAACAATACATTAATGTATTCTCTAGCCTTTTGGAACTGTAAAGGAGCTAGAAAAAGGTGTGCTTCTCTATTCCTTAAAGAGTTTATTAAATTACACAATGTAATTTTTGTGGGATTATTAGAGACAAAGATATCTAATTTTGATATGGAAGAAGTCAAGAAGACTATTGGAGATGGTTGGAATTATGTGATGGTACCTTCGATTGGTTTATCTGGTGGGATTATTGTTCTCTGGAATATAGCCCTGGCTGATTTTGCTGTGCGGGATTTGTCTTCCCAATGTATTATTGGGGATCTCTCAATTTTCAACAATGGTAAAGGAGAGTGGCTGCTATCTATGGCAACAAATATTTGTATAAAAGAAGGGAATTATGGAACAAGTTGGAAGTTCATTCTAATGAGGAAACACCCATGGTGATAGGGGGAGATTTCAATTGCCTCAATTCAATTGAAGACAAAAGAGGGGGAAGGAAGTTTTATTTTTCTAAAGGGCCAAAGGAGATGGAGGCATTTATTACTAACAATGATTACCATGAGGTAAGATTTATTGGGCCAAGGTTCACATGGTGCAACAACAAGGAAGGAGGAGCTAGAATCCTGGAGAGATTAGATAGATATTTCCTTAACTCTTTAGCTTTAAGTTCTTCTAAACATTTGATTGTTAGGCATCTTACAAGGATTGCATCGGATCATAGTCCGATTGTTCTTAATTTTCTTGAGCATAAATCATCAAAATCCAAATGTTTAAAATTTGAAGATGTTTGGACTTCCTACCCTGCTGCTTTATCGGTGGTTAAGAATGAATGGAAAAAAGTCTTGTTCGGGTTCAAATGCTCAGATTTTGAATTATAAATTCAAAAGAGTTTTGAAGGCTCTCTTCTTTTGGAGTAAAGCCAAGCTTAAAAACTTGAATCTTCTTAAAGAGAATTTGTTGGAGCAAATAATGGATCTTCAAAACAAAGAATCTAACAACAGTTGGCTTAGTAAGGAAGAATGTTGGACATTAAAAACTAAAATCTGTGAGCTCAACTCAACAATGGCTAGATTAGACTCTTGGTGGAAGGAAAGAGCCAAAGCAAAATGGATGAAGGAGGGTGATACTAACTCAAAGTTTTATCATGCATTTGCTAGTGCTAGGAGTTAAATTAAATTGTGAAAATTAAAAATGATAATGGAGTGGTTATTGAAGAACCAAATCAAATTGAGGAAGTTCTAATCAGTTTTTTTAGAAATAAATGGAGACAGAGGAACTCGTCTTTGGAAGGGTGGCCACATCCAAATGATGTTTTGAATGATAAAGAGAAATCTTGGATTACTAGGGAATTTTCTATAACAGAAATTGAAGTTGTTCTAAAGAAATTAGGAGCTAATGTAGCTCCAGGAAGTGATAGTATTACCTATTCTTTCATCAAAGCTTATTGGATTATTATCAAGATAGATTTTGTGAATGCAATTAACTCCTTTCTTTTTAATGGAGAGATGGATAGAAATTGGAAAGAAACTTTAGTTGTGCTCATCCCTAAAGTGTCTAATCCGGTGCTGCCAACCAACTTCAGACCCATTAGCCTATGCAACTCAGTGTACAAGGTTGTGGCTAAGCTGATTCTGAACAGACTCATTCCAGTTGTTCCTAAACTCATCTCTGAGGAGCAGGCAGCATTTATTAAGGGTAGATATATATCGGATCATGTTCTTTTCACTCAAGAAGTCTTCCACAAATTCAAGTATTCAAAATCCTCTAAAGGTCTTGTTTCCTATCAAGTTGATATGGAGCAAGCATATGATTCAATGAGCTGGATAACTCTTTAAGCTGCTTTAAAATACTTTGAATTCCCTCCTATGATATCTAAACTCTTTTTGGAATGTGTGATTGAACCAAGATTCTCTTTGATTATTAATGGTTCACTATCTGAATGGATTGAAGCTGGAAGTGGCTTCCGACAAGGTTGTCCACTCTCTCCAATTCTCTTCATTCTTTGCTCTCAACTTCTCTCCAATGCACTTTCTTTATCTTCTGTTGGCATTAAAATCTACCCAAAAGGTCCTCTGATTTCTCATTTACTTTATGCTGATGATGTGTTGATCTACTCAGAAGCTAATAGGAAAGAGGCTAAAGAGATTAAAGAAATTCTGGATAATTTCAGCAGGTGGACTGGACAATGCATTAACAAAGGAAAATCTGCTATAATTTTTAGGAAGATAGTGGATAGAAGAAAAAGGAAATCCATCCAATGTATAATGGGATTTAAGGAGCTGAAGCAAATTACATATCTTGGAATAAAGATGTCTTTAAAGAGACTAGCTTCAAATGATTTCCAATTCATCATTGAAAAGTCTTTTAAAAGGCTAAACATGTGGGGAAGTAAATCTCTTTCTTTAGCTGGCAAAATTGTCCTAATCTAATCGGTGATCTTGGCTCTTCCAAATTACTACAGCACACACATGCTGGTGCCCTCTCGGATCTTGAAGGAAATAGATAAAATTTGCAAAAAAATTCTCTGGAATAAATCTAATGGAGGTAAAGGTATTCATTATGTAAGTTGGAAGGATCTTTGCATTCCAGCTAATAAAGGAGGACGTGGATTGAGATCTTCATCTTCTATGGTGTCCGCTCTGAGAGGAAGACTAGCTTGGAGATTTATAAACAATAAAGGTTCTCTCTTGCACAAAGTATTTGCTTCCAAATATGGCAACAGGATTGATATTGGAAACGGTAAAAAAAGAACCTCTACTTCTTGGAAAATTATCAAAGATGGTGGAAAAGCTCTCAATCCTATCTTAAGATGGAATGTTATTAATGGCAAATCTATTAACACTATGGAAGATAATTGGATCTTAGATAGGAGTATTAAGAAATGTCTTACATTTGTTATCCCCCATAATGAGGACAATGTTATGCTGGATAAATTTATACAAGGAGGAAATTGGAATATAGCAGAATTGAAGAAGTTCTTTGGAGCTGATTTGGTGGACTTGATTCTACAAATTACTATCAATGCAAATCTTATGGAAGATGAGTAGGAGTTGATTAATAAAATTCTCTGGAAAAACCATCTCAGGTTTAATCATAGAAGCCATTAAACAAGGAATTGCAGAATGCAGTTTTTCGAAGTGGTTAAAAAATGCAAGATTAAATCCACGGATATAAATATTTTGCTGGAGGATGTTTAAAAATGCTATTCCTACTTTCCAATTTCTATCTCATAGAAGATTGCAAGAAAATGTTTTATGCCCAAGATGCTTGGCATATATAGAGGATGTGGAGCATATTGTTTGTAAATGCAGAAAAATGAAAGAGGTAACCAAGCAACTAAGCAAATGGGGATTTCATATTCCAGATTTTAACAGCATGGAAGAATTCTATACTTGGATTGAAACTATGACAAATCACAATGGTATGATTGCCAATTTATTTTGTAATGTCTTATATCTCTCTTGTAAAGCTAGGAACACTCTTGTTCATGACAATGTGATACAAGGTGCTACCTATATAGCTACAAATGCAGTTAGCTCTTCATCATTTTCTAAGTTGATTTTTAACTCAAAATCGGAATCAAGGGATGCTAATCAGTCGTTTAGACTGTTGAAATCTTGGTATCCCCCACCACCCGAATGGTTAAAAATTAATATAGATGCTTCTCTTGACTCATCCAATTTGTCGGTATTGGGGGTGTCATCCGTGACTGTAAAGGGAGATTCTTAATGTCCTTTGGCAAATCTTGTATCCATTGGGACATTTCACAACTGGAAATGATAGCTATCAAATATCTCAAGTAAGTAATCAAAGATTGGATGTTCAAATACAAAGGAATTTGTATTGAAGGTGACAATGTTAATGTGATCAAGGTCATTCATAAAGCTTGGCTTCTTGACTTCAAAGAATTGGAGGAGCTAGAATTCTTAAAGGAATTCAATCACATCATCTTTAATTGGGTTACGAGAGTTTGCAATAAGTTAGCGGATGTTTGTGCTAATCTTGCTAAGGTTAGTAACTTTGTTTGGGAAGATTTAAACTGTAATAAGATTCCTCTTTCTTTTGTTAAAACTTTGAAGGAGGAATCAACCTTGTAGTTACTTTGTTCTATTCTTAATGCATTTAATGTTTTCTTCAAAAAAAAAAAACACTTCTTCCTATGGAAATCATGTATCCTTTGGTCGAGAAGCATTATCTTGCTTTAATTATTTCATCCCGAAAATTTAGACACTACATGCTTTCTATTATAGTCAGATTGATTTCAAGAGTAAACCTATTGTAATATCTTATAAGCTGACCTATGTTGTCAAGATGTCTGCCTTGGTAATCTATGATATTTCTTAAATTTGAAATCACATTTATTCCCTTATATTCTATGAAAGGAAAGGTTGTTGTTGTCTTCCATATAGCACACCTGCTGTTGGTAGATTCTCCTTTAAATAATAATTTTCCCAATGAACAAAACATGAGTTTAAGTGAATCTGATGAAACTATCTACGAATCATATTTTGATGGTGTGAGATTTTCTTAACATGGTAAAACCATAATATTTATGATCCCTAAAAAAGCCAGAATTAGCCTATTTTTCATAACATAAGAGAAGGGAATGATGCATTTTTTTGACCATTTATCAGATCCTTGCATGAATAATGAGGTTGAGTATGAGGCTCTGATAACTAGCCTGAAAGTTATAATTTTGATAGAGATTAAAGAGATTAAAATCTTTGGTGATACTGAACTAGTAATCAACCAGGTTGCAGGAACCTATAAGGTTTTGAATCCTAAGCTCCTCAAATATAACCATTACACGAGTCACCTGCTTAAGCAAATTTTGGTCATAACTTTGTATAGGGTTCCTTGTGAAAGTAACTCTACGGTGGATACCTTAGAAAAGATAGCAATGAAATTTGTATCCCTAGATGAAGAATCCATTCCTATAGAGATCCAAGGTCGTCAGATCCTATCTCCTATAGATTTGGAGAAAATTGATAAGTAAACTTCCTAGATCCATTCTATCTCTTCAGTAATTGATGAAAAAAATGATTAAGGACTACCGTTAATAAACTATCCTCAAGAGGGTAAACTTCCTATGGATAAATCTCTCGCCAACTAGATCAAGAAATATACCTTATCATATGTATTAGTCAATAGTACATTGTACCAATGATAGTCTAATTAGATGTGGCTATATTGTGTAGACAAATGATAAGCCTTAAAGATTGTTAATGAGGTACATTCTAGACTATGTGCTGCTCATCAGTTGGGTCAAAAAATGAAGTTGAGAGTCAAAAGGCTTGGATACTACTGGCCTACTATGATTGATGATTACATAAATGTTGCAAAATGTTATCATCAAGGCCAAGTCCATGGTGTGGTTTTACTATATCCACCTAATATACTGCATCCCATGATAGCTTTGTGGCCCTTCGAAAGTTGGGGCATGAATGTTATCGGGCCGATTGACCCTCTTTCAAAGGGTCACAGTTTCATATTAGCTGCAATTTACTAATTCTCAAAATTGTGAAAACAAATCCCCTACACAATATAACATCTCATAATATTTTGCAGTTCTTTTATGTTCATATTGTATATATCTATTCATCCTACCCCATATAATTCTATCATATAACGATTATACATTCTAGTCTATAAAAAATAATAGTTTTGTAAGATGCCATAACATTGATTAGAGATACTAAACAATCTTTTATCCATAGGCTAATGGGTTAGCCGTGGCATTTAACAAGACTTTGATGTAGATTATTAAAAAGATCCTTAATGATAACAAATGTCAATGGGATAAGAGGTTGGCAGAAGCTTTATGGGCCAATCAGATAACTTATAGAACCCTGACCCAATCCACTCAGTTTGCATTAGTGTATGAGTCTGAGGCTGTACTCCCCTTAGAAATATAAATTCCTTCACTCAGAGTTGCAATAAAAAATTAAATCACAACTGAGTGGAATGTATAACTCTGACAAGAAGAACTCAAAGGCCTTGAAGAGTATCATCTCTAGGCTCAAAAAAGTCTAGAGTTGTATAATGCCCGAATGGTTCAAACTCACAATAAGTTAGTGTGACCTAGAACCTTCGAAGTATAAGACTTGGTATTGGTTCTTCAAAGGCATATCTTAGCTCACCGAAAGATTGGTGGGAAGTTTGAACCAACTTGGGAAGGACCCCTCATTGTAGGGACAGTCTATGAAGGGGGTTCATATCATCTAGTGGATTGTATAGGAAATCACCCAATATTACCTATTAATTGGTATTTCCTTACGAAATACTATGCTTAATGTAGCTTAGATTTTCATTTAATATAATTTTTTGGCATTCTACATTAATTCTAATCAATCATGTTCTCACTATCCAAGTATTTTTGAAATGGTCAAAATCATTAATCAATCATTTCCACTCTTCCTCGCTATAGGTTAGGTGATGCCTTCCCTTAGGTTTTGATCCTCTTTGGTGGGCATATTTTGAACCCACCATGTAATCACCAAGTCTTCTTAGGTTAGGTGTTTCCTTCCCTTAAGTTTTAATCCTGTGTGATGGGCATGTTTTGACCCCATCATATGATCATTCGATCCTCTATATTGGGGATGTTTTGACCCCAACATAAGACCATTCAACTCGATCCTCTGTAATGGGCATGTTTTAACCCCATCATAAGATCATTCAACACAATCCTCCATGTTGGGCATGTTTTGACCACACAATAAGACCATTCAACCTGATCCTCTATAATGGGCATGTTTTAACCCAATCATAAGATCATTTAACCCAGTCCTCTTTATTGGGTATGTTTCGACCCGAGCAAAAGACCATTAAACACGGTCCTCTATGTTGGGCATGTTTTGATCACATCACAAGACCATTCAACTCAATTCTCTATAATGGGCATATTTTAACCCCATCATATGATCATTCAAGCATAGTTTAACCCCACCATAAGATCATTCAACCTGATCCTTTGTAATGGACATGTTTTGAATCCATTATATGATCATGCAACTTGGTCCTCTGTGTTAGGCATGTTTCAACCCCACCACAAGGCCATTCAACTTTGATACTCTATGATGGGCTTTTTTTGGCCCTATTATATGATCATCCAATACTCTTTGTTGGTCATATTTTGACCAGACTATAAAACCATTCAACTTGATCCTCTATATTTGGCATATTTTGACCTAGTACAAAATCATCTAGTAGTGGTGGATAATGCCCTTTAAGGCACCGCCTTAGTACCCACTTAACTTTGATTCTCTAAGATTTGGTTATCCCTTTTCTTAGACTAAAATTTGCTAATTCAATCCTTCTATTCGGTCAATGCTAATATGTGCACTAGAATATTATTCTAATAGACATATTGGGGGTCTAATTATTAACCTCATTTATATATGAGGTAACTATGACCCACTTGAGTCTCTTTTTGGTAACCTAATGATTGGATGATGTTTATTTCTTAAAATTTTTATGAGGGGTGTTAAACCCTAAAAAATTAGTCTGAAGGCTAACCAAGAGGGGGAGGGGGTGAATTGGTATTTAAAAAAATTCTTTAATGATGATGAAAAATCTTTTTATAACTTGAATTGGAAATGAATTAAATTCATAAATAAAAGATAAATTAGCATTTTCAACCATGTAGTTAATTGCAAGAAAAATAAATGTGGAAAGAATAAAGGATAGAATATACCTGATTCAGTCCAACCTAACCTACATCCATATAGTGGTTTAGTCCAACCTAATCTATGTCCACTACCTGAAGGCACCCTTCGAGTATTGCACTAAACCTTTAGTGCTCTCCTTTAGCCCCCAAAGCTAGGTGAAGAAGCCCTTACAAAAACTTCCACCTTCTCTAATGAGGTTGAGTAGTTAGGTCCTTTGTCACCAAATAGATCTTCATCTTGCAAAACTTCCCTCAAGATAAACCTTGAATCTAATGGTACTAAGGTGCAAGCTTGTCGGAGCAACCGTGTGAAATCCCCTCCACCCTCCCTTGAAACTCCCTCCAAGGATCTTCTCCCTTACAAACTACAACCTTTTCTCT